CGACCCCGTTCGCTTCCCCTCGAGGCGCGGACGGTGCCACAGCACCCGTTGCACTGGACGAAGCGACGCCTGGCTTCACGCCGCCACACGCGCTTGTGGCAGACGCCGCTTCTTCGGCACCTGTGCCCCGTCACGCCAGCGAGGAAGCGCCCGCCGCTAGCTCCCGTGAATCTCGCGCAAGTTTGCCCTGGCAAGATGCTCGCCCGCCGAGCTCGGTGCCCGGCGAGCGTAACTTTTGGCTTTACATCCCCCTGCTACACGCAGGGGCGGGTAACCTCACTCCGCGCGCGCAGCAGGCCTGGCGGGCGTGGCCAACGTTGGGCACACGGTTCGCCGAGCTTGAACTGCTGCTGCGCGGCGCCCAGCCAGTCGCACCAACCTGTATCGCGCGGTCTTTGCTCGCGATGGCGGAATGTGAGGCCCATGACACACGGCGCGAAATTGGCGAGGGTGATCGAATGACAGCTGAGGCGCTGGTTGGACTACCTGCGCCGTGCTGATGTGTATGGGGCCCGACGGCTATTTAACGGCCGCCGCGCAATCCGCGTTGCTCGAGGCCTACGCCGGCGCGACTGCAGCCGCAGCCGCCCGAACCCTCGCCGACGATGCCCGACGCCCGCGCGGAGCTGACATTGCCGGCGAGCGCTCGCCCGCATCCCGAAGAGGACGCCGCCGAGCTCGCCGCCGACACAACCCGAATGCCCCCCGCGGCGACGACAGTGAAGAGGGCGGCGTCCCCCATTGCCCAGCTGAGGCTGAGCCACCGAGCACCGCTGCCTGCGCCTCAATGCCCGGCATCTCCGAAACATCTTGGGCCGCCCTTGACGCTGTCGACTTGGCGGAAGAGCTGCGATGCCCTGTGCCAACAATGCAGGACGTGCCGCCATTCATGCGGTCGGCAGTTCGGACGGCTTTGGTGACCGCCTTGAGCCGCCTGCGCGAGGCGAATGCCCGGGTGCCCGCAGACGTCAGACCGGCCCTCGCTCTGGCCCGTCTGACGGCGCTGCGCAAGCCTAACGGTGGAGTCAGAGGCATCGCAACTGGCGACGTGTTCCGCCGCCTTGTCTCGCGTGCCTTAGCCAAACAATGGGCCCCCATCTTCGATGAAGCAACCCGCCCGTACCAGTTCGCTCTGCAAGCACGGGCCGGTACGGACGCCTTGGCAGCCCACGTGCGCACAGCGCTCGAGCTTAGTGATGAAACGGTCCTTGTTTCCCTCGATGGGCGGAGCGCCTATGATAGCATGTCCCGCGCGTGATTTCTAGCCGGCCTCCAAGAGACCGCACCGGAGCTGCTCCCCTTCGTGCGGCTCTTTATGGCCAGCCCTCCACATATTGCTGGTGGGACTCTGACGGGAGATGCCGTATAGCATCTCGCAAGGCGAAGGCTGCGAGCAAGGAGACCCGTTGGCCCCGGCCGGACAGCACGGAGCCCTCCGCAAATCCGCCGCGACCCTTCATCCGTCCGACCGCTTGCTGGCATTCTTGGACGATCTGTATGTCCTGACTACGCTTATGAATTCCATCAGTGGTATAGGCCAGGGTCCCCAGAATGCATCCGCCCCCCCTTCCAAAATGAATCTGAAAACCAATCTGGCCAAGAAGCCCGAGAAAGTGGAATGTTTGTTTTCATTCAGTCGGTAAACTACTAAAACGAGGCCACCCGGCAACGCTGATACGGTGCGGGCAGAATCGGGATATTAGGGCTGGCGGGGGCGAGGTGTTGGGGCTGAGGCTGGGCGGCTGGGAGGGCTGAGACTGGGGCTCGGGGCGGTTGGACACGGGCCAGGTGAAGGGGCGGATTGGTCTCCTTTCGCATGGGATTCATTTTTGGATTGGATTTTCTGGCCAGATTGATTTTCAGATTGGTTTTCGGATTTGGATTGCCAGGCAGGCTGGTTTCCAGATTCATTTTCAGATGCATTTTCCTTTTCCCTAGGAAAATGCATCTGAAAATGAATCTGGAAACCAGCCTGCCTGGCAATCCAAATCCGAAAACCAATCTGAAAATCAATTTGGCCAGAAAATCCAATCCAATAATGAATCCGGAAACCAATCTGGCTGGCAAATCCGATGCAAGTCACTGCAAATTTGATTGGACTCTGAAAAGGATGAGCCGTCGAAGCCTTACACTACCTGCCTTGCTGCCTTCGCACCCCTGCTACTGCTACACTGCTACACCGCTCCAGACCAAGTCGTGACAAGCAGGTCCAGCAGAGTTTCTAATCTAAGGTTGTTAGATGTCTTGTCCCTCTTGCTTCTCTACAGACGCTTGGTTAGGTTGATATTTGGTACATGTCACGGCTTTAATTTCGTTACACGTGGGTCCAAAAGTTCATCTGCCCAGCACCTGGTTGCAAACTGGTTTCGGGATTCATTTTTAGATCCATTTTGGATGCAGTTCTGTTCTTCCTGTCTATACCCTAATTATGGATTTCATAAGACTACGCGGGACCGGGCACGTGCCGCTCGCGACACTGTGGTCGAGATCGTACAGGAGGATAGGAGGAATGCGGCATCGCTTCCAATGAGGGCAAAACGCGCGTGTACAGCTGCGCTGGTGGCCCCAGCCTCCCGGCATTGAATCGCTGGGGGCGGATGTATGGCGAGGGGACAAGCCTCCCGCTGAACAAGGCCTCCTTGTGCTGGGCACCCCAATCGGCCATGCGCAGTTCGTCGCATCGTGGGCGGAACAACGACTGCAGAACGAGTGGGAGCTCTTGCGCCAGCTGCCTAAACTGCCGGACTTGCAGTGTGCGTGGCTCCTCCTCACGATGTGTGCTTCGCCGCGGGCCAACCACGCTCTCCGCACCGTGCCTCCACTTGCGGTCGCCCCGTATGCCCAAGCGCACGACGAGGCGATCTGGGAGACGCTGCAGCTTTGCCTGGGCGGCGTTCCCCCAGACGACGTTCAAGGCACGAAAAGCTTGGCAACCCTTCCGGCTGCTTTGGGGGGCCTGGGCCTGGTCTTTGCTGCGCGGACAGCGCCAGCTGCCTATACTGGGCTGCTTGGGCTGACGCTTTGCCCGTGCTCCAAGCCCGCACTCCAGCTTTCGCTGATACCTGCGCGCGCCACCTCGCCATGGGCGGGGATCCCGCACCCAGTCTCAAGGGAGCGGCGGAGGCACGCATACTTTTGCAAGACGAAGGCTGGCGCGAATGCCCTTCTTGGAATGAAGTCCTCAGGGGTGCCCGCCCACCTCGACCAAGTGACGAAGGCTTGGCCCAAAGCGACTGGCCGCATGGCTGGCAACACTATGCATCGCGCACTCGCAACCAACACTTTCGCGAACGCATTTTGCTGCCTTCCGTGCCGCCGGCCGCCAGTGCCCTCCTCCGATCACAAGCTGGTCCGCAAGCAGGAGCATGGCTGACTGCCATACCAAGCGAGCCCGCCACCACTCTAGTGCCTCAAGACATGCAGCTGGCCCTGCGCCGCCGTTTGCGTCTCCCGTTGCTTCTCTGCCGCAGCTGCTGTGGCCCGCCCGGCTGCGGAGCAGACGTGAATGCCTACGGCGACCATGCACTGGCATGTCCGCGCACCGGCTTGCTAGCCCGCAGAGCGAAAATCCTGGAACGAGCATGGGTGCGCGTGGCCCGGGAGGCAGTCGGCCCCGAAGGGCAGGTGGTCCCCCAGCAATGGCTCGCGCACACCACTGCACCGGGCGTCCCTGCAGCCGATCGCCGTCGCCTGGATCTCGTGATCTACGGAGCGACGCCGCTCGGCGGGGCCCTGTGTTGCGATGCGACCCTCGTTTCGCCACTGACACGCACGGGCCTCCCTCAACCGTGCGCAGCGGCGCATGACGGAGCTTCTTTGCGGGTCGCTGAGCGGCGCAAGCACACAGCGTACCCCGAGTTGAGTGCTGGAGGCTCCTCGTTCTGGGGTCCGAAGTCGGGGGACGGTGGAACGCTGGAGCACAGCAGCTGGTTCGCGACCTTGTTCGCATCCGTGCTCAGCGCTCGCCACCCGTGGTGCGCGCCGCGGCAGCCTCGGCCTGGGCGCGGCGCTGGTGGGCTGTGCTCTCGGTCTCCGTGCAGCAAGCTGTGACAAGCACGGCGCTTGGGTCGGCTTGGCCCGCTGCCCGCTCCGTCCCACGCGAGCCCAAGCCCAGGCCCGGAGCTCGACCGGATCCTCGACCTCGCAGAGGCCGCGGGGCCGAGCCGGCTGCCACTGTGCAGCGTGTAGTCCGCGCGGAGTCGTTTCTGACGCTTCAGCCCTGCAGGCGGAGAACAGGTGCGGTGAAAAAAAAAAAAAGGATGGCCTCAGGGCAGTTGCTATGCAACGAGTTCGAACTCCCACTGCAGACCAGGCCTAGTGCTGCCGGGCCGGCGCAGGCTTTGCACAAGGGAGGGTATACGAGGTAGGCACGGACCGCGTTTGACGGTGTCAGAGGCTTATGGAAAAACACATCGATTTGGTCGGATCGTTGGTGCTGGCGCGAAAATCCGTATGGAAAAAGAAAAAGAAATCCTGGCGAAACCGTTGCGTTTTCCGACGCTGCTGCGCCGCCTCCGCCTGCCGCTCACCTGACGCCGCTGTTGCCGATTACAGCTCCGCGGCCTCAGGCTGGAGCATGCGGAGCGCCCCCATGGCGCCGCCCGCCAGTCGTTTACGGCAGTCTTGCAACCAATGCGCATGTGCCGGAGCCATATTGTAGTTTGTCGCAGGCAACCGGGACCCCAAAGTTGTTTTTTCCCCAAAGCATTGTTTCAAAGTCGTTTCATGCACATCAAGCGCACAGGGCCAGACTGGAGTTTTGAATGCGTGGGTCGTGCAGGCGGAAGATGCGTGCAAACATATTTCCGTTCGGGCAATGGGCCATGGGTTCGATAGTTGAGTTTCAACAGTTGCCGCAAAACATGATAACATTTCTACTTTCAAGAAAGCTGCCAATAGAAACGAAGAGTTAGAGGGACATCCCCGAAACGTGTGCCACAAAACTGTTGCAGCCGTGTGGAGCCAAAATTGGGTCCCAGGGACCCAGGAACTGCGGCGGCATGGAAGACGTGCAGGACATCGCTTCAGATTTGGGTTGTGGGTGTTGTCGTGATTTTAGCAATTCAAACAATTCTGATGCTTATGGGTTCCCGTGGTGGTGCCGATTTGTGAAACACGCGCAGAATTCCGCAGAATCGACAACTTCTCAACCCGTCACATTTTTGCTTGTTGCTGTATTTCAGAAGATCAATATTTGGAACATGAAGCGGATTACAACAGGACCAATAGGTTTTCGACACGGTGCCAAACACTCCACACTTTGCCCCTGCCAAGCAGCCTAAGCCTGCTCAACCCCACTGCGCTCGAGCCTTCGTTTGGACAAAAAGCCTGAGACTCCCGCGACCAATAAAACACAATTCGGCCAAAACAGGAAGCTCCGGTGGTGGCGGGTTGCTTTGTGCCGCGGCAAACTCACGGCTTGTGTGTTGAAGTTTGTCGACGGTTTCAGGCCTTCTAGCGGCTTCGCAGCCCAAAACCCGAATCACTGAACCTTGGCCCCTGAACCGTAAGCTTTTTAAGGCCATCATCACTGTGCGAACATTGTCACAGAGGGTTTCGACTCTGCAAAAATAAACATTCCTCAAACAGTGCTAGCTACATGACATCAATGCATGTAGGGCACTTGGAAGGCAATGAGGGCCAAAGTTTGCTCGCCTATGAAACGTTTACCCGTCATCCGAGTCGCAGAATGCGGTATCTTCCAACCTTTGCATCGTTAATAGCCTTGCAAAGGGATGCTTGAAGAGGCAAAGCATGTTTCCTGACAGCTGCAAGTGCGGGGCTTCAGGGTCAAATTTGAGTAGAAAACCCTATGACGCAGAAGGGAATTTATTCGGATTTCGAAGTTCAATCTCAGGGCAAGCTGCAGCATTATGTGGACAAGACCACTGTGTGGACGAAGTCAAGGCGGGCTGCAAGCAGACGGTTTCGAGCCGTCGAGGCTAGTTTGTTCGTGAGCTGGACACGCACGCGCCTCTGGCCTTGACGCCTTGACCGAGATTTCAGCCCAGCAAGCTTCAAGCCTACAGCCACATTGCCCCAGTCGCCGTAGCAGCTTCGTCGGCAAGCAACGTCACAGCGCCCCCAACATCAGTTTAAATCATGCGCACTGGGTCGTGCACGTTTTGGCATGGGCGGAGTTGGTAGTTAGTGATGAAGTAGGGCTAGCAATGATTCAGCAGGAAGCGAAGACGGGTCATGCAAAGGTCAGAATCCCAATGTGTTCCGTCAACGAAGCACCCTGACAGGTGGTTCGCGTTGTCTCTGTGCCTACTGATTTACGGCATCAGGCCAGCAACACGCAGTTATCAGCGTTGCTGCAAAACCTAGGTGCGGGTATTGACAACGGTGCACGTAACCTTCGTAGTTGTAGTCACGGGTTTTGAACGCTGCCATGGCAAGTGGAATTACAGACGTCAGAGTTCGTTCGTTCTGTCGTTGTCTTGTGCAGAACACGGGTGTGGACGACTTCCCCGCTGAACGGGATGAGAGCCTGGCACTGGGTTCACCGTGTTACATAATCTAACAGTGGGATTTTATGATGACGATGAGTGGCTTTTGCTGTTGATGCTGACAGCGGCTCTTACAACAGTATTGACGAAGCAAGGCATGGTCATAAGTCATCTGTAGATCGGGCGGGGGACTCTTTGGGACAGTGTAGCTTGCTGAGTCCGGCCTCTTCCACCTTGGGGGCAAAGGCACAAGCCTGTCCGGGAACTTGTTGTTGCAGCCTGCTTGCCTGCCTGCTTGCGCATAGCTGGGCAAGTGTATGCACAGGCTCGTTGACCTCGCAAAGTGATTAGGCATCGTCATAGTAACAAACAGGGAACGAGCACTTTGTGGCCAGTAGCAAAAAAAACTACACCCGTGTTTCAACGGCTGTTTGACGTTTGCCAAGCTTTCGTCCCGCGTTGAGATTCGCATGGCTTGACAGCTGTAAGTGCTGCGAAGACTGTGTACACATTTCGGCACCCTCAACCCTAAACAAAAAACACCAAACCGTAAATCGTTAACCCTAACAAAAAACCCAAAACCCCTAACCCAAGCACGTCGCATGACGCTGATGGAGCAAAGCATGTTTTGCCCCCGGCGAGGCGATGGCAGAGTGATGGTGACAAGCAGAGCAATCACATAAGGGGGACGACGTACAGGGTTTACAACTGATGTCTTAACAACTTTGTTTAAAACTTTCACCCTGAATCCTGAGCCCGGATGTGACATGTGATGATTACTTGGGCATTTCGGGAGTAGAAGACAAGAGAGGCAGGTCACAGTTGGGGCCATCTCATGTTCGCAGGAGTCTTTTGATATTACAAAGTGCAGGCCACGGGCTAAGGCAGCCAAAGCCAACATGAACATAAGATCTGAAACATATTGATTCGGGCTCCCACCTTAGCCCTAAACCCGAAACCCTAACCCCTAAACCCTCAACCCTAAACCCTGAAGGATTGCCCGAAATGGGTCTTTCTGTATAATTCGTTAAGCTGAAATTGAGGCTTGACGCGCAGCATCTGAGACATCACATTACCCTGCAATGCGGGCTNNGCAAAAAAAACCCTGAACCCCAAACCGAGCCGCCCCTTGACCGCCAGGGTCTTCCTGATCCAGGGTTTCTACATTGTGTCGTATGGCCTGGGCATCTACCTCCTGAACTTGCTTATCGGGCTTCTCGACGTAACCCAGAGCCCTAAGTATCCCTAATGGTCCATGTAAGCCCTTTAGACCCCAAACCCCTCAGAAAACCCTTACTTTGCTCTTAAACGCGACACCCTAACCCCCCCCCCCCCTCTCCCCTTGTTGGGCGCCAGGGTTCGGTATTTCGGTAGGTACGGTGCTGGGGTGTTTGGTGTTCGGTCCAGCGCTGAAATTCGCCGACTAGAAAGCTGGCACAACTGAAACATCCTTAAGCCTGAAACCCTGAAGACCGGCTCCACATGGAACCCATTAGGTTCCTTTCTCCTGCGGTGGATCCGGAGATTGAGGAGGCCCCGGGGAACTCCCAAGCTCTTTAGCCCTCCTGCTTCGATTATTTTAGAGTAACGGGTTTGGATAGGGTTTAGGATTTAGGGTT